GCTTTGGTTTCCTGGCATTCGCTGTCCCTGTGAGATGGGGCAAGGGACACCATTGATCCCCTCTATCCCACTGCGGAAGTCTTCACGTTGAAATAGGCGGTGACTTGCCCAAGGTCACCCAGTGAGTGGTGGGAGTCTAGGCTGGACACAAGGGCCTGGGAGGTGGCTGCACAGGTGCTGACAGGGAAGCCCAGACATTTGTCCCAGAGTTCCCAGCCCACCTCGGGACCCGCTGTCAGGAGGATTTTATAAACCATTAAAGCAGTCCCCACGTCTCGAGCCTTCAGCAGCATAATCACTCAACTACTCAGCCTTCACCTTCCCGCCACACGGGCAGACACTGGAGAAAGGGAGGGAGTAGTCAGGAAAGTCTACGTCCTGCAACAAACACCTCCAAATCTCAGTGGCTCAACTCAACAGAAGCTATTTCTTCTCACACGAAGTCTAATCAGGCATTCTCAGTCTTAGGCAACCTTCCACATGGTCATTTCAGGGACCCAGGCCCCTTCCTTCTGGTACAGCCAACGTGGTCACAGGCAGAGGAAATGCTAAGCACCCATGGGCAACCCTCCTTGCTGGCCAGAAAAGATAAGCTGGGAGAACTGGGAGGGGCGGGGCCCCAGGGGCCCTGGAGGTGGCGGCAGGGGTGGTCCCCGGTCATGCCCATCCCTTCTCCAACCCTGGTCCTGCAGGAGTGCCCTGATCTCCCCATCCTCCTCTCCAGAGCTGTTTCTGTGCTACTTCCGGGGCTGGGGGAGTCCCTCGTGTCCCCAGAGAACAGCATAGGCTCCCTGCTCCCTGGGGCACAGGGTCTTGGCCACCTGAGGGCTTGTGGAAGGTGAGGACAAGGACACCCCCATTCTCACCACCCCCACCCCACCCCAGAGGAAACTTTCTGCATCCAGTGCTACCCTTTTATTTTTTTTTTCTCGTCGTTACTCTGGTTATCCCTCAGCCCAAGACTTTCCCAGCTCTCTCCAGCCTGTGAACAGCATTCTCATTCTTCACTCCCGCTTCACAGTTCTCTGCAGTTGGGCCCAGCTGCAGCCTCCATTGGAGCCAATGGCATTGGGCCATTCCCCACCCCTGAATACGTCCTGTCCCTTCCACCTTGGTGAGGCTTTCACCCCTGCCTGGAATGATCTGTCAAAATCCTGCCTAGGTTCATGCGGCAGGGTGCCAGCCCAGCATGCCACAACTGACTTGCAAATCACAAGGGGACTAATTCTTCTACAATAAAGATGTCTAACAATCACCCGTCGATCCATCAATCCCATCCATCCAAGGAAAAGTGGAGCAACTGGTGCTTGTGAAGTGTACGGTATTACTCATAATAGATTCTTGCCAAGAGTATGTAGCCTGGGTCTAATCAAGCCTTTAGATCTAACTCTCAGTTTACAGGAAATAAATAGGATAGAGGAACAAATTAGGTGACATCACAAGGAAATAACTAAATTAAGAATGAGAACATTGTACAAGACAATGGACTTGACTTTGCTCTTTTTTTTCTCTTCTTTCTTTTTTTTGGAGACGGAGTCTCACTCTGCCACCCAGGCTGGAGGGCAGCAACCTCCACCTCCAGGGTTCAAGCAGTTCCCTAGCCTCAGCCTTCCAAGTAGCTGGGATTATAGGCACATGCCACCATGCCCAGCTAATTTTTGTATTTTTAGTAGAGACGGAGTTTCACCATGTTGGCTAGGCTAGTCTCGAACTCCTGACCTCAAGTGATCTGCTCACCTTGGCCTCCCAAAGTGCTAGGATTACAGGCGTGAGACATTGAACCCAGCCGACTTGACTCTTAAGAAAGTTGAAGTCATTAAAAAGTGGTCTATGCAAGTGGTCTATGTAGACTCAAAAGAAATACCCATATGCAGTGCATGAACCTAGATCGGATCCTGGTTAAAAAAATAAAAGAAAGGAGGGAATAAAGGAAAGAAAGAAGGAAGGGAGGCGCCAGGTGTGGTAGCTCATGCTTATAATTCCAGCACTTTGGGAGGCCAAGGTGGACGGATTGCTGGAGGCCAGGAGTTTGAGACCAGCTTGTGCAACATGGGAAAACCCTACAACAACAATAACAACAAAAACACAGTAACTAGCCAGGCATGGTGGCATGAGCCTGTGGTCCCAGCTACTTGGGAAGTTGAGCTGGGAGGATCTCTTGTGCCTGGGAGGTCGAGGCTGTAGTGAGCTGAGATTATACCACTGCACACTCACCTGGGTGACAGAGAGGGACCCTGTCTCAAAAAAATAAATAAAATAAAAAGAAAGGGTGTGAGGGAGAGAAGAAAGGAGGCAGAAAGAAGGAAAGAAGGAGAGAGGAGAAACTACGAAATACATTTTGGGACAATTAGAGAAATTTGGATATGAACTGGGTGTTAGATGACATATAGGAATTATTGTTAATTTTGTTAGATGGAATAATGATATTATATTTATGTAAGACAATAGCTTTATTCAGAGGAGATGCATGCTGGAATATTTAGGGGCAAAGTGTCAAGCATCTATAATTTACTTTGCAATGGTTTGGCTAAAAAATAAAAATAGAAAAGATAAAACAATTATTTAAAAATACCAATCATTGGTTGTAGAGGTTTTGTCTGTTTGTTTGTTTGAGGCAGAGTTTCACTCTTGTTGCCCAGGCTGGAGTGCAGTGTTGCAATCTCGGCTCACTGCAACCTCCGCTTCCCGGATTCAAGCAATTCTCCTGCCTCAGCCTCCCAAGTAGCTGGGATTACAGGCATCTGCCACCACACTTGACTAATTTTTTGTGTTTTTAGTAGAGACAGGGTTTCACCATGTTGGCCGGGCTGGTCTCAAACTCCTGAGCTCAGGTGATCCACCTGCCTCGGCCTCCCAAACTGCTGGGATTATAGGCGTGAGCCACCGTGCCCAGCCCCAAAGCCCTTGCTTTCTAAATACTTATTTGGAGCATAGTGGGGGGCCAGGGAATAAGGGCCTCTACTCCCCAGTACTTGCCCCACCTGGCTCCTGTCCTTCATGAGGTGTAGCACTTCCCAGGGTGGCTGCCTTCTTCCTCTCCGCCTTCTCCCTCCTCCCCTCTCTTCCTTTCACCCCTTCCTCCCTGCTTCTCTCTCTTCCCTTTTTTCTCCTCTTTCCCCTTCTCCCTCTCTTTTTCCTCCCACCCCTGCCCCTTCTTCCTCTTCTGTTCTTTTTTTCTTTTTTTTTTTTTAGACAGAGTCTCACTCTGTCACCCAGGCTGGAGTGCAGTAGCATGATCTTGGCTCACTGCAACCTCTGCCTCCCAGGTTCAAGTGGTTCTCCTGCCTCAGCCTCCCAAGTAGCTGGGATTACAGGTGTGCACCACACCCAGCTAGTTTTTGTATTTTTAGTACAGACGAGGTTTCACCATGTTGGCCAGGCTGGTCTCGAACTCCTGACCTCAGGTGATCCACCCACCTTGGCCTCCCAAAGTGCTGGGATTACAGGTGTGAGCCACTGCACTTGGCCTCCTCCTTTGTTCTTACATAAACAGAGCAGAAAGAACACAACCTCAGTTTTTATCCCTCCTTGTCCCTCTCTGGGCCTCAGTTTCCTCAGTTATAAAAAGAGGGATTGGACATTGGGAATGAGAAGGCTACTCGCTTCGCATGTGCACAGGCCAGGACAGATTCTCTGAGCACGAGTGGACCTTGGCCCCTGCCAAGGGTGCTCTGCTACTTCAAGAAGACTCTAGCCTCCTAACCCCTAACCCCATGCCCCAGGCAGCCCACTGGGTGGGGGGTGGTTGAGGAGAGAGAGGTCCCTGGCCTTGGGATCTGTAGCCCCTCTGCCCAACCCAACTGGCTCATAGTGTGGGATGCTGGCTCCACAACCAGTTTCCCTCAGATTGGCAGCCCGGAGATACCAGTACAGCTCAGTCCTGGCCCAAGGCGGAGCTGCTGACTCTTCTAGAGTCTCAGGAATTGTTGCCATTGCCTTTAGGGAAGGCTGCCATGAAGGGAGACTGTGTTTTAATGTGCTCCCAAGGCTGGCAAGCCTCTGCACCCTTCGGTGAGAGCCTGTTGGCTGGCCCTGTGTGGTCCTGTTGCCACCTCTCATGGAGAATGACCTTGGAGGGCCAGTGCTGGGAAGCCCCCTCCACAGTGCACTAGCCCGATGTTCTCCTTGGGCAGATAGAGAACTCAGGCCCCACGAGAGGCAAGGCTTATCCAGGGCATGGCTGCAGAGCTGAGGAGCCAAGAGCCACAGAGTTATCAGGGATGGGTTGGCAGCCACATTGTTCTTTGCGCTAGCAGGGGCCAGAGCAGAGGTGGGAGTGGGTGCACAGCAGGGAGCAGGAGGCCGGGAGGTGGAGGCAGGGAGGCCAGGGCTCTCTCCTGGGTCCTGAGCTTTCCACATTCTACTCATCATGGTGGTGGGAGGGGGGTTCTCCACTCTGATGCTGTGGATGACCTAGGGTGGCTCCGGGCCTCAGTTTCCCCATCTATCCATATGAAGCTGGACTCAGTCCTTCTTTCAGCAGACCCTGCAGCAAGCCCCTGCCGACTTCAGGCTCCCTGCCAGACTCTGGAGATGCATAGATCAACAAGGTCCTCCAGGAGCCTGGGATTCTGAGAGGGGAAATTTGGGGGTCCATCCTGATGTGGGCAAGGCATTCCCTGGATCAAAGAAGAGCTTGTCAGACCCAGAATGGAGTGGCCCTGAGTCCCTCCCGGCCCCTTGGCGCCCCGCTCTCTATTCCACAGCCTGCTGGCCTTTTGTGTGTTGCCCACTTAGGAGCGAGGGCCCCAGGCCACATCCTAGGGCATGTTCCCAGCTCGTGGCAGGAGAGGAGGCCTTTGTACCCAGGCAGGCCCGGTACAGCCTCCCGGGGAAGGTCCCAGTATGACGAGCCTAGGATGATGAGAAGCCCAGGGCCACAGAGCCGGCTTGGTTCCTTGGCAACATCCCGAGGAATCCAGCGGCTGCACACTGGCTCCCTTCCTCTCTCCTCCCACCCTCCTGCCTGCGGGGGCTGGAGGCGGAGGCAGCCAGCACCATTATAAAAAGCCACAGAGCTCTGGCGGCGGCGGTGGCGAAGGGACAGCACTAAGCTCTGCCGCCTGGCTCTAGCCGCCTGCCCTGGCCCCCGCCCGGACTCTCGCCCACCCTCAGCCATGGCTCCGATATCTCTCTCGTGGCTGCTCCACTTGGCCACCCTCTGCCATCTGACTGTCCTGCTGGCTGGTAAGTGGGGCCTGGACTTGGGCACGAACAGGGTAGGGAGCTCCCGGTGGGGAGCCCCCAGCCCCTTGTCTGTCCCTCAAGCCTGACATCAGGGGCCCCAGACCTTGTCTGGGTAAAGCTCAAGGCCGGTGGCAGCCCCTATCCAGGGATGTGCAGGAGGGGGCTGGGCACCTTCCTTTCCCCAGATGCAGCACTGGACAGATTTCCACTTGCCAGCGACTGTTCTGCCTGACCCAGCGAGCAAAGTGGCTGTGCCTGGAAGCACAGAGAGGTGGTGTGGGTGGCATAAGGGAGCCAGGTGTGGGTGTGCCAGGAGGGTGCGGGTAGAGGGAGCCTGCAGAGGCTCCTGGTGGGCACTGGGGTGGGAGGACCTGGCTGACAGTGGCTGGCTCTTTCCAACCAGCATTAATGTGTAACCCGCAGCCCTGGCCCTGGGCCAGGCCACAGTTGTGACTTTCTCCTGCCCTGTTTTCAAAGCCCCCAGGATTAGGGGGCCCAGGACCAGTGAAGGTCAAGGTCACTGCAGCTCATGGTTGGGGCTTGCCGCTGCTGTGCTGGTCTGTAGCCCCAGTTGCTCTGCCTGTCTACCCATCATGCTGTCTTCCTCCTCCAAGCACAGTGTAGAAAACGCGTTTGCCTCTAGTCACTTGCTTACTGACGCCCAGGACCTGGTAGGGGTACATAATTGACCATCCTACCTGATATGGATAAGATAGAGGCCCAGAGAGGTTTAGAAACTGGCCTGAGGATGCACAGCCAGCAAGTAGGGCAGGAGAGGGTAAGACTCATGGGACTGAATGCAGAAGAGAGCACAGATGCACGCTCACCACCTCTGTGGGCCACACCACCTCCATGAACCGCTAGCCAGACCCCTCCTCAGGGATTGCCCCCACCATCCGGCAGGGTGACATTCAGAGAAGGTGAGACTTTGCTTGTGGGCACACAGCAAGTCCAGGAAAATGAGAAGTAGTCCCCAGCTTCCAGATATTTCCATGGAGCAAACTCACCCTGGGGCAGGGAGCAGGTGCGTGGGTGGGTGGGCACGTGGGGATGGTGGAGGCGAATTCCTGCTGGCTGCCTGCTTTCTGGGATTGGGCCCTGAAGCCTGAGGTGTCTGGGGACAGTGAGAACTGGAAAGTGGGGAGTCAGATGGCGGCTGCTTTGCCACAGTCTTGCTGTGTGACCCTGAGCAGGGTCTTGCCTCCTCTGGTCCCAGCTGCTGCATCTTTAAATATAGCTATTACCTCTCCGGTGGGGTGGGGGAGGGTGATGAGGCTCCAGTGCTTATGGGGGTGTTTTGAAGAGGGTGGCGGAGGAGGATTACTTTTACTAAGCTTAGAGGGGAAAGGGTCCTAGGCTAGGATGGAAAGGGACCCTAGGGGACTCTGGGTGCTCTGACTAGCAGCCTGAGGCTTTAGTACCAGGCTTCTGCCCTCATCTTGGTCATTGGCTTTACTGGAAGATCCTGGGGATTACTGGAACCTTTCTCAGCCTCAGTTTCTCCTCCTGTAAAACTGGGCATTTGACCAGGCTCACCTTGGAATGTATGGCTGACATGTATGGCTGACATGTATGGCTCCAAGAGGCCCTTGGGAGCCCCTTTAGGATGAGGGGGTGGTTTGGAAGCCAGAGAGACCCCGAGGGGAGGCTGGGGGGTTCGTAGCTGCTGCCCTGACTAGTGTGGGGCAGCTGCGTCAGTCCCCAAATGTGGGTTTGTGGGGCTGTGTCAGGCAGGAGGCTTCTGTGCTTTATATAACGAACCTGCAGCTACAGTCAGTGCAGAGCATTGCCCCCCCACTCCAAAAGCTGACGCATTCACTCCCACTCAAGTCCTGGCAAGAAAGAGAAAAAAAACGAATCTGTTTTAAGCTCCTATAGCCTACCCCGCTCATTAGCAGTGGGGGTGGATGGAGAGGGCATGGGAGGATAAATTCAAGAGTGTCAGATCCAGGCCCCTGTCAAATTTAAATAAAAATTCCTCCATTTTTCTGTTGGTTAAGGTATTATGTCACAAAGCGCTTGCTTGGGCATTTTGTCCATTCATTCAACAAATACTTATTGGACACCTACTGTGTGACAAGCCTGGTACTAGGTACTGGGGCAGCATCAATAAATAAAACAGCCAAGGACCTCAGCCCTCGGGGTGCTGTAATTCAACTAAAGAGGACAGATAATACACAAAGTAAATCAGTAAACAATGTGATCTGTTGGAAGGAGAAAAGGCACTGTGATCAAAAAATAGAGAGGGGTGGCTGGGCGCAGGGGCTCATGCCTGTAATCCCAGCACATTGGGAGGCCAAGGTGGGCAGATCACCTGAGGTCAGGAGTTCAAGACCAGACTGGTCAACAGCGTGAAACCCTGTCTCTACTAAAAATACAAAATCAGCCGGGTGTGGTGGTGAATGCCTGTAGTCCCAGCTACTTGGGAGGCTGAGGCAGGAGAATCACTTGAACCTGGGAGGCAGAGGTTGGAGTGAGCCGAGATTGTGCCACTGCACTCCAGCCTGGGTGACAGAGCGAAAAGAAAGAAAGAAAGAGAGAGAGAGAGAGAGAGAGAGAGGGAGGGAGGGAGGGAGGGAGGGAGGGAGGAAGGAAGGAAGGAAGGAAGGAAGGAAGGAAGGAAGGAAGGAAGGAAGGAGGGAAGGAAGGAAGGAAGGAAGGAAGGGAAAGAAAGAGAAAAGAAAAATGGAGAACAGGAAAGAGAGGTGTTGACATTTTAAATAGGGGGTTAGGGAAGCCCACTCAGTAGGTGGCTTTGCACAGTTTGGAGGAGGCTGAGGGAGGGAGCTGTGTGGATATCTCTGGATATCTCTAGAGTAGTGGTCCTCAGTGAGTAATTTTGCTCTCCCAGGGGCCATTTGGCAATTTCTAGGGACATTTTTACTTGTTACAAATGTCCCAATGTTTTTGGTTCAGTTGAGCTACTTGCCTCTAATGTGTAGAGGCCAGAGATGCTGCTAAACATCCTCCAGTGCCCGGGACAGCCCCCAAAACAAAAAACTGTCTGGTCCCAAATGTCAGTAGTGTCACTGTTGAGAAACCCTGCCCTAAGGGAAAAATGCTCCAGATGTTAAAAAATGTTTATTCTCACAACCACACTGTGAAGCAGGTATTGTCACGTCCATTTTACAAGTAAGGAAACTGAAGCTCAGAGAGTCTGAGTGACTTGCTTAGGACACACAGCTGAGCAATGAATGGCTCAAGCCCTCTTTTTATCACCTCACCCAGTGACCCAGGACATTTCCTGAGTCTCCTTCTAAGACCCTGGAAGACTCTTAGAAGTCCCTGAGGTCCAGCCTAAAGGAGACTTCCTCCAGGAAGCCTCCCCTGATCATTTGAAGTTGGAAGTGGTTTCTCCCTCATGTAAACCCCAGTATATTTGTGGTATGTTCTGGAATGCTGTGTTTCCGCCTGGCATCTAGGGTAGCCTAGAACAGTGGGTGTTCAGGGGCTGGGTAGAAAACTAGCTCTGCCACCATGCCGCTGTGTGGCATTGGGCATATTTAACCTCTCTTATTCCCAGCTTCTGCATCTGTGAAGTGGGGATAATAATACTCCCTTTGCAGGATAATAATTCCCTTTGAAGTTGAGAATTAAAGAGAGCAGATGTGTACATGCTGGACACAGGGTCTGATACACAGTAGGTGCTCAATTAAAAAAAAAAAAAGCTCTGATACTTTGTGTGCCTGTTTTACCTGTCCATCAGGCTGGGAGCCTTCTGAGGCCAGAGGCATTCCTTGTTCATCTCACTGTACCTCACAGCACCCGGCACAGGGTCTGGCAAGAGGAACAGCATTTGTTGGTTGACTGAATAAGCAGAGTGATCTGATGGCATTTATTGGGATGGAAGCACTCTCTCCAAGCTCAGCACCCGTGCCTATGGGAGAAAGAGCTCAAGGTTAAGGATAAGAGGGCCTGAGATTTTTGTATATACTCAAAAGTAATTCCAGCCAGTGTTGGCTGAATCAGGAAGTGGATGGATGGATGGATGGATGGATGGATGGATGGATGGATGGAAGAAGGGATGGGGAGGGGACAATGAGGGATGGATGAGTGGGTGAGATAAAAGGGGGTGGAAGATTGACAGGTGGTAGGTAGGGGAGAGGGAGTGGGTAGATGGATGAATGGAGATGAGTAGGGGGTGGGTAGGAGGTGGCAGGTGGGTGAGGAATGGGTAGAAGGTTGATAAGAGTGGGTGGAAGGATGGATGGATAGGCAGATAGATGCATTAAAGAGAGATAAGTAAATTGAGACTAATTTCATTCAATGGATATTGATTGAGTATCCACCTTGTGCTTGATGCTGGGAAGCTGTGATACCAAGACAGACGAGGTCCCTGCCTTCCTGACACTCCTATGACAGATAATAGATGACTGGCTGGATGAGGCATTGTCTCCATTTACAGAAAGGAAAACTTCAGCTCTGAGAAGGGACAGGCTCCCCAGGTTAGTTAAACAATCTTCCTGGCAGAACCAAGAACTTAGCCAGGCCAGGACCATTCAGGGACTGTGGCAGAGAGTGGGGACTTTGGAGACAGGATGACTCTGTGGCTCTTTAAAGCCCTGAAGGTGGGTAATGGCTTTCCCCATGTTGGATTTGAGGCGCACAGAATGGACCTTCTTTGTTATCCATTGGGCAGCCTCCCTTGCCTCCTCCTGTCTCTGGTCACTGAGGGGCACCGTATTTTCTGGGGCTTCCTAAAAAAGACACCTGCAGGCCAGTTTAGGGGACTGCCACCTGGCTCCACTCAACAGGGCCTGGGGAGGCTGCAGGTGCGTCATTCTGAGGTCCCATTGCAGAAGGAGGGTGGCCAGCCCACGCAGTGACTTTTATATCCTGGTTACTCAGAGAGAAAGGACAGCCCTGTGACCTGGGGAGCCTCTCCTGCACACAGCCCCCAACCCCCTGAAGCTACTAATGCTGCTCCTTGATGACTCAACCCAGACCTGCCAGCCCTAAACCACCTTCCCACAAAGCAGGGCGGGCCAAAGCTAAGGGGGAGCGATGGAGAGAGGAAGCAGCAGACTCTACAAAGTCTCTGTGTGTGTGCGCACGTGCATGCGCCTGTATTTGGGAAAGTGGAGTATGTTTGCATGGCCGTATATATGTAAGTATTTATGCATGAGCAATTCGTGTTCTGGTGGAGCCCAGGGATGGGCTGGGGGTTTCCCAGGCTCTGAAGTGCTAGATAAGATCGGCTTGCTCTCTTGACTGCCCTGGCCTCCAGATGTTTGCAAAACCCTCTGGGGTCTTGCTTTTGCTGCACATAACCTTGACCCAGATCTGAAACTCCAACTCTTCCTTGATTTTTACACTCATCCTCCTTGAGCTCACGCTAAGCAGAAAAAAAAAATTGCTGGGGATTTTAGGCAAAGAGAAAAGGTGGAAATGCAGTGTAAACAACTTCAAATGTTTATATCAAATAGTTGGGTTTATTTGTCCTGTCCTGTGGTTTCTCTCTGGCTCCACGTGACACTCAGCTACTGCCTGTCCCTTCTGCCCCACTCTGCCCCTACCCTATTCATACCTTCCATCTCCAACCCTTCCTTCTCCTTACTCTTCTTGCTCCAGGAATATCAAATGCCTCTTCCTTCCTAGGCAGGATGACTCAGTACCTTTCAGCAACTACTCTCAGGCTCATTCTGGCTCTTAACAGCAGAACAAAGGATCATCTATTCATCAGACCCCACTTTCTTACAAAGCAGTTGTACTTATACACTTTTAAAAAGTTTATTGCTGGGCATGGTGGCTTGCATCTGTAATCCCAGCTACTCCGGAGGTTGAAGTGGGAGGATCGCTTGAGGTCAGGGTTTCAAGACCAGCCTGGGCAACATAGCAAGACCCTGTCTCTTAAAAAAAATTAGCCAGGCATGGTAGCATGCACCTGTAGTCCCAGCTACTTGGGAGGCTGAGGCAAGAGATCTCTCTTTTTTTTTTTTTTTGAGACAGAGTCTTGCTCTGTCACCCAGGCTGGAGTGCAGTGGTACGATCTTGGCTCACTGCAACCTCTGCCTCCCAGATTCAAGCAATTCTCCTGTCTCAGCTTCCCTAGCAGCTGGGACTAAAGGCGCCCACCATCATTCCAGGCTAATTTTTGTATTTTTAGTAGAGACAAGGTTTCACCATACTGATCAGGCTGGTCTCAAACTCCTGACCTCAGGTGATCCACCTGCCTTGGCCTCCCAAAGTGCTGGGATTACAGGTGTAAGCCACCACACCCAGCCAGGAGAATCTCTTGAGCTCAGGATTTTGAGGTTGCAGTGAGCTAGGATTATACCACTGCACTCTAGCCTGGGCAACAGAGCAAGACCCTATTTCTTAATTTAAAAAAAAAAAAAAGGCAGCAGGAAGAAACAAGGCAGAGGTGAGGGGATAGGCAAGGCCACAGGCCCGGTGGAGACTGCAGCCATCTTGGTAGGAGAATCTGTTCCATCACTTGCTGGCTGTGTGACCTTAGCAGATCCCTGTCACTCTCAGATTCATCTCCCCTGCTGCACAATGGACCAGTTAATTTTAAAAATTAACCCGGGCATGGTGGCTCATGCCTGTCATCCCAGCACTTTGGAAGGCCAAGGAGGGCAGATCACCTGAGGTCGGGAGTTTGAGACCAGCCTGACCAATAAGGAGAAACCCCGTCTCTACTAAAAATACAAAATTAGCCAGGTGTCGTGGCAAATGCCTGTAATCCTAGCTACTCGGGAGGCTGAGGCAGGAGAATCACTTGAACCTGGGAGGCGGAGGTTGCGGTGAGCTGAGGTCGTGCCATTGCACTCCAGCCTGGGCGACAACAACGAGACTCCATCTCAAAACAAACAAACAAACAAACAAACTTTTAATATGTGCCAGTGCCAGGCAAAAAGAACTCTGTAAATAAGAATTCACATTTCTTATTCTTACAACAAGCCTATGAGGTAGATACTATCTTTGTTCCTATTTTACAGGTGGTGAAACTGAGGCATAAAGTTTGGCGGGGGAGGGAGGCTGAGTTAAAGGCCTTGAAGGCCAGGGTGTATAGGTGATCAGCTTTGGCTTGGGTGGTGTGGCCGAGACAATCTGGCACAGGGTTGGGAAGCCAGATGCCCACAGACATCCCTGCTGACCAGGAACCTCTTTGGACTCAGGACAGCACCACGGCGTGACGAAATGCAACATCACGTGCAGCAAGATGACATCAAAGATACCTGTGGCTTTGCTCATCCACTATCAACAGAACCAGGAATCATGCGGCAAACGTGCAATCGTGTAGGTATTCCCCCCGAGGCCTCTGAAATCCCCTTCAGGCCCTTGAAATATTCCCAGACCTCTGAGAATCTATGTCCACACCTCCCCTCCCAGACCTGGTCTCCTAGGCGAAGGCCTCAGCACACGCTTCTCTTGCCCCTGGCCTGCAGGCCACTTCACTGACCTTAATTTCTGTGCCACATGGCTAAGGAGGAGAGTGGTTTCCTGAATGGCCCAGTGTGGCTGGGGGGGGCAGCCGCCCTGGCTTGTGGCCTGGAGCAGCCATGAACGGTGGTAATTCCTCCTGGACTGAAGCACATGTTACCCCACACTCGAACCCACTATATTTCATGGGGTGGTATGGGTAGGCGTAAAGCATGAGGGTCTTACTTAAAATGCAGGTTCCAGACTCTAACAGACCTGGTGCAAATCCTGCCTTCCCCTCTTATTGGCTGGATGGCCCTGCTTCCATTGTTTACTTTTTCACCTTGGTTTCCTTGTCTGTAAAATGTGTGGCTAGGACAGGATGTAACTAAAGTGCTTGGCAAGGGCGCGGTGGCTAATGCCTGTAATACCAGCACTTTTGAAGGCCGAGGCTGGTGAATCACTTGAGGCCAGGAGTTCAAGACCAGGCTGGCCAACATGGTGAAACTCCATCTCTACTAAAAATACAAAAACTAGCTGGGTGTGGTGGTGGGTGCCTGTAATCCCAGTTACACGGGAGGTTGAGGCAGGAGAATTGCTTGAACCCAGGAGGCGGAGATTGCAGTGAGCCAAGATGGCACCACTGCACTCTGGCCTGGGCAATATTGTGAGACTCCATCTCAAAAAAAAATAAAAAGAAAAAAAAGAAAAGAAAAAAAAATTAAATTAAAAATAAATAAAGTGCTTGGCAGGGTCTGTCAGTAGGAGCTGCAGAGATCACTATCTCCATCTGACAGAAGAGGAAACAGGGTCATTTCGAGACTCTGGGGAGGGATTGAGTCATTGCCCTCCTGGCTGTTAAGGACCCTGGCCATCTTGGTCACTTCCTTCTCCTGGGGGCTCTCTTAGGTCCTGCCTAACCAGCCAGCCCTGAGGCCTTTCCCCAGGACTGACTTTTGAGCCCTAAAGCAGCCTCAGCCAGACCTAGGGGTCAGGCAGCAGGAAATGGCCAATGGCCCTTTGCTTTCTAGGCTCAGTTAAAGGAAGTCTGGCACTTCCTCTCCTCAATTATGCAGTTTCTAAGGTGGGCAAGGTACTGAGCGTTCTCCTGCCTGGCTTCTTTGCTGATCGGTCAAGGCTTACTTCCCCAAGACACCCCCAAGTATTTTTTGTTTTCTAGGTGAAAGGGAAAAAGGAAGTGGGGGAGGGGATCGCTGTGCCCAGGGGGCCTGCAGGGTCATACTTGCTTCCTGGACTCCTCAAGCTTCCCGGCATCCTGGAGCCAGGTGCCTTTACTTCACCTCTCTGAGCCTTGGTTTCCTCATCTGTAAAATGGGGATGAGCCTGGTAGTTACCTTGTGGGATGGATGTAAGATTTGAACATGGGCAAATGCCAAGCACAGGCCGTGGCATGGAGCCAGGGCGTCTGTCAGCTCTGAGCTGTGGGCTTGGCGGTGAACCAGTCACACACGGCTTCAGAGGAAGTTCAAGATTTGGAGGGCACTCAGGGTCCCAATGAGGCTGCCACATATTTGGCTCTAACCCCTTCTGCCCGTGAACACACATCGGGAGGGGAGGAGAGGGGCCTGGAGCACAGCCTGTAGCTGTGAAACCGAAGGAGAAGAGCAACAAGACTCACCAAGTCTCATAAGGCCTGTTCCAGAGTGAGGAGGCCCCATGCAGAGCTCACCTGAAGTCCTCTCCCCAGCAGGAGACTCAAAGCCCAGAGCCCCCTGCCTTAATGGTAACAATATTATCAACATTGTTATTATTTTCAGCTGTTACTGATCGGCTCTGAGCCATAATTTGGCTTTTTTTTTTACAGTAACACAGAAGTAGGGTGATCAACTCGTCCCTGTTTGCCTGGGGACTTTCCCGGTTTTAAAATGGGAAGTCCCTCATCCTGAGCACCCCCTGCATCCCATTTTTTCTGGGATGGGTGGTCACGCTACAGATGGGAGGCTTTCCTATCTCCATTTCTCGGGTGAGGACCTGGGAGCCTAGGAGGGCAGGTTTCCCCAGCTGGTCAGTGGCCTCACAGCTGCTAAGTGGGAGGGCAGGGTTTCCAGCCGGGCGTGTTCCACCTGCAGAGCACTGGTGCTGTGCCCCCACACCACGCTGGCCCGGGTTTCTGGCATCTGGACATCACTGGATCCCTGTCTTTCTCCCCTGTAGCTTGGAGACGAGACAGCACAGGCTGTTCTGTGCCGACCCGAAGGAACAATGGGTCAAGGACGCGATGCAGCATCTGGACCGCCAGGCTGCTGCTCTGACTCGAACTGGCGGCACCTTCGAGAAGCAGATCGGCCTGGTGAAGCCCAGGACCACCCTTGCTGCCCGGGGAATGGAGGAGTCTGCGGTACCGGAGCCCGAAGCCACAGGCGAAAGCAGTAGCCTGAAGCCAACTCCTTCTTCCCGGGAGGCACAGATGGCCCTGGGGACCTCCCCAGAGCAGTCGACCGGCGTGACTGGTTCCTCAGGGACCAGGCTCCCCCCGACGCCAAAGGCTCAGGATGGAGGGCCTGTGGGCACGGAGCTTTTCCGAGTGCCTCCCGTCTCCACTGCCGCCGCGTGGCAGAGTTCTGCTCCCCACCAACCTGGGCCCAGCCTCTGGGCTGAGGGAAAGACCTCTGAGGCCCCGTCCACCCAGGACCCTTCCACCCAGGCCTCCTCCACCCAGGCCTTCTCCACCCAGGCCTCCACCACTTCCTCCCCAGCCCCAGAGAACACTCCGTCTGAAGGCCAGCCTGTGTGGGGTCAGGGACAGAGCCCCAGGCCAGAGAACTCTCTGGAGCGGGAGGAGATGGGTCCCGTGCCAGCACACACAGATGCCTTCCAGGACTGGGGGCCTGGCAGCATGGCCCATGTCTCTGTGGTCCCTGTCTCCTCGGAAGGAACCCCCAGCAGGGAGCCAGTGGTTTCAGGCAGCTGGACCCCTAAAGCTGAGGAACCCATCCATGCCACCATGGACCCCCAGAGGCTGGGCGTCCTTATCACTCCTGTCCCTGACGCCCAGGCTGCCACCCGGAGGCAGGCAGTGGGGCTGCTGGCCTTCCTTGGCCTCCTCTTCTGCCTGGGGGTGGCCATGTTCGCCTACCAGAGCCTCCAGGGCTGCCCTCGAAAGATGGCGGGAGAGATGGTGGAGGGCCTCCGCTACATCCCCCGGAGCTGTGGTAGTAACTCATATGTCCTGGTGCCCGTGTGAACTCCTCTGGCCTGTGTCTAGTTGTTTGATTCAGACAGCTGCCTGGGATCCCTCATCCTCATACCCACTCCCACCCAAGGGCCTGGACTGAGCTGGGATGATTGGAGCGGGGAGGTGGGATCCTCCAGGTGCACAAGCTCCAAGCTCCCAGGCACACCCCAGGAGGCCAGCCTTGACCATTCTCCACCTGCCAGGGACAGAGGGGACGGTCTCCCAACTCACCCCAGCCCCAAAACTCTCCTCTGCTGCTGGCTGGTTAGAGGTTCCCTTTGACGCCATCCCAGCCCCAATGAACAATTATTTATGCCCAGCCCCCTCTGACCCACGCTACCCTGTGAGTACTACAGTCCTCCCATCTCACACATGAGCATCAGGCCAGGCCCTCTGCCCACTCCCCGCAATCTCATTGTGTCTCTTGGTTCTGCTGCAGTTGCCAGTCACCCCGGCCACCTGCGGTGCTATCTCCCCCAGCCCCGTCCTCTGTACAGAGCCCACGCCCCCACTAGTGACGTGTCTTTTCTTGCATGAGGCTAGTGTGGTGTTTCCTGGCACTGCTCCCAGTGAGGCTCTGCCCTTGGTTAGGCATTGTGGGAAGGGGAGATAAGGATATCTGGTGGCTTTCTTCTTTGGTCTACACTGTGCTGAGTCTGAAGGCTGGGTTCTGATTCTAGTTCTACCATCAACCCCCCAAGGTACTCCCATCTGTGAAAGGAAAGAGGGAGGTAAGGAATATCTGTCCCCCTGACATCCCTCATTGACCTGAGGCCCTTCTCTCCAGCCCCTGGATGCAGCCTCACAGTCCTTATGAGCAGAGCACTTTAGACAGTCCTTGCCAATGGACTAGCTTGTCTTTGGACCCTGAGGCCCAGAGGGCCTGCGAGGGAGTGAGTTGATAGCACAGATCCTGCCCTGTGGGCCCCCAAATGGAGGTGGGCAGAACAGAGTCCATCCCTGAAGGCCCCGCCCAGGCTCAGTCACTGAGACACCCCGAGCTCTGCCTCCCCTCACCCCCTAAGAGGGAGGAGGGAGAGACACCTGTCTAAGACACCTGTCTAAGAAGCCCGGGAAAGGCTCTGGGAGCAGCCACACACCTGATGCTTCTTCAGAGACTCCTGCAGGCAGCCAGGCCACAAGACCCTTGTGGTCCCACTCCCCACACGCCGGATTCTTTCATGAGGCCTGGGTTCCCCTCCCACCTCTCTCACTCCTTGAAAACACTGTTCTCTGCCCTCCAAGACCTTCTCCTTCATCTTTGTCCCCATCGCAGACAGGACCAGGGATTTCCATGAGGCCCCTGTTTGTTTCTGAAAGGGACGCTACCCGGGAAGGGGGCTGGGACATGGGAAAGGGGAAGTTGCAGGCATAAAGTCAGGGGTTCCCTTTTTTGGCTGCTGAAGGCTCGAGCATGCCTGGATGAGGCCACACCAGCCAGCCTGGCCCCTCAGGGTCCCTGGGGGCAGCTCACCTCTGCCTTGGATTGTCCCCGAGGGTGACCCTTGCTCTACCTGAGGGGCCTCTTATGGGCTGGGTTCTACCCAGGTGCCAGGAACACTCCTTCACAGATGGGTGCTTGGAGGAAGGAAACCCAGCTCTGGTCCATAGAGAGCAAGACGCTGTGCGGCCCGGCCCGCCCGGCCTTTGCACTCCCTTGCTGGGCGTGGCACAGTATATTCAGGAAGTTCAGGGCCTGTCTCAGGTGGGGTCACTCTGGCAGCTCAGAGAGGGTGAGAGTGGAACTGATGCACTTTGTTCTGGCTCTTCCAGGCTGGGAGAGCCTTCCAGGGGTGGGGCACCCTGTGATGGGGCCCTGCCTCCTTTGTGAGGAAGCTGCTGGGGCCAGCTGGTCCCCCTTCCATGGACTTTGTTAGTTTCTCCAAGCAGGACATGGACAAGGATGATCTAGGAAGACTTTGGAAAGAGTAGGTTGATCCTTTTACTTTTCCAACCCTCATCACCAATGTCTGTGCCATTTTGTATTTTACTAATAAAATTTAAAAGTCTTGTGAATCAATACGGGTGATTTCTCTGGGGACAAGTCCAGCAACCAGGGCTTCAGAGGGGAAGGAACGGGGCAGGGGTGGGCAGGCCAAGATCCCTTTCAGCCCTGGAGACCCCTATCTCCAGTTCATCTGGGGCAGAAGAGCAGACATTTTTACAGTCAGCAAGAGAAGAAGCACCAGGGATCGGAGTGAGGAGTGCTGAACCCTCGGCCTAGCTCTGTTCTGCCCGGCTGTGTAATGTTGGGCCAGGGCCTTCACCTCTCTGAGCCTGCATAACTGTGAGTATGGGGCCTCTCCCTAGTCTGGCAGGACTCAGAATCCCTCATGAAGCCCTACCCCATGCCTGCTGAACCACCATCCCAGGGGCCCTGGGACCACGGTCAGTGAACTGGTGCCCCATATGGAAACTGGCCCATAGTTTCCTCTTTGCGGCCTTCCTAGTTCAGATGAAGATCAAAGAGGGATTACTTCTTAAGGGACTTGGAAGTTCATAGATGTGCCCCAAGTGTGAGCCTCCTGGTGTCCTAAGCTCTTCAGTGTCCTGGGAGGCTTCCTAAGAGCTGCTCTGTACAGTTGTGCAGGTTGGAAACTGCACAAGGCTGCCACAGACCAAGTCCAGCCTACTGGTATCCAATATTTCATGAATGTTAGGATGCATCCTTTCCACACTGTGATATGTTTGGAATTGAGACTTGTTTTGTAATCAGTGGCTTGTCACCGCTTAATTGGCAGGATTTTTTTCTTTATTAGTAATGGATTAAATATCAGAACATCTTACCATCAATCATATCTTAGATTCAATGTCTACATGAATGAATGGTGTTTTTTAGTAGGCAGGTCCAGGCAGCAGCTGCCATTTGAGATAGAGCAGGCTGGGGTCAGGAATCCCATTTCCTACAATCCCCTCCACCTCCTGGATCTCCTGGATCTTGTAGCCACATCAGTTACCATTTATCATTGCCTTTCTCTTGTTTTTCTTATAGTGAGGATATTTTTCTATAAGCCCAAGTCTCCATCAAAAGTAGGTCAAGGGTCAGGCATGGTGCCTCACACTTGTGATCCCAGCACTTTCAGAGGCCGAGGTGGGCAGAGCACTTGAAGTCAGGAGTTCGAGACCAGCCTGGCCAACATGGTGAAACCCTGTCTTTACTAAAACTACAAAAATTAGCCAGGTGTCATGGCACACCCCAGTAATCCCACCTACTTGGGAGGCTGAGGCAGGAGAATGGCTTGAATCTGTGAGACGGAGGATGCAGTGAGCTGAGATCGCCCCCCTGTACTCACTCCAGCCCAGGCGACAGCGAGACTCCGTCCAAAAAGCAAGCAAACAAACAAAAAAAGTAGGTCAAGGAAAGCCAGACCATGATGGGCACATGGCTTCTCTCATACCCTGCTGGCTTCCCTTGTTTCACTCCTGCTAAACCTCATAGAGATTCGAGCTTGCAGGAATCAATCTGCCTCTGTGCAATGCTGTCAATTCCGGCTCTCCCCTCTGCAGTGAGCTTCCCCAGCTCTGCCCCAAACCCAAGCTTGTCTAGCTTTCGCCCCTTCCCACTCCGAGCAAGGAGCTCCACCGCAGGCCTGGTTCCAGCCCCCAAACTCTCCCTGCACACCACCCATCAGCCACACAAGACACCAACAGAGGCTTTAAATGAAAAGATGTGTCTCTGTCTTTTCATCACATTCTTAGGTAAGATTGCAGCCTTCTCAGCAGGCTCAGGATGAGAAGCAGGAGTGGGAGAGATTTGTATTCCGGCTCAGTCCAGAGCAACTCCCCAGGAACCCTGGAGTGTTTGTGTAGTTTTATTTTCTTTCAGTTTCAGAGCTAAATGTGAGCTGAAGCCATTCCCACAATTAATGCAGAGTTTGGACGGGACCATTTTTTTTGTTTGTTTGTTTTTTGAGACAGAATCTCACTCTGCCAGCCAGGCTGGGGTGCAGTGGGTGATCTTGGCTCACTGCAACCTTTGGCTCACTGCAGCCTCCACCTCCCAGGTTCAAGGAATTCTGCTGCCTCAGCCTCCTGTGTAGCTGGGACTATAGGCGCGTGCCACCATGCCCAGTTATTATTATTATTTTTTGTATTTTTAGTAGAGATGGGGTTTCACCATGTTAGCCAGGATGGTCTCGATCTCCTGACCTTGTGATCCTCCCACCTCAGCCTCTCAAAGTGCTGGGATTACAGGCATGAGCCATCGCGCCCAGCCCTTGACCTACTTTTGATGGAGACTTGGGCTCAGAGAGAAATATCCTCACTATAAGAAAAACAAGAGAAGGGCAATGATAAATGGTAACTGATGTGGGCACAAGGTCTGGGGGATCCAGGAGGTAGAGGGGATGGTAGGAAACGGAATTGCTGACCCAAGCCTGCTCTATCTCAAATGGCAGCTGCTGCCTGGACCTGCCCACTGTCACCCTGGGGGTGTACAGGTGTTGCTATATAACATTAGTTATAAAATAATAGTAGACATTGTTCATGTAATGTTTACGATGTGCCAGGCAATGTGTGAAATTCTTTATATACAATGATCCTCATCTTACTAATGATGAAAGCAAGACTCTCAGGTTGGGTGTGGTGGCTCAAGCATATAGTCCCAGCACTTTGAGAGGCAGAGGTGGGCAGAGCACTTAAGCCCTGAAATTAGAGACCAGCCTGGGCAACATGGTGAAACCCCATTTCTATAAAAATACAAAATTAGCTGGGTATAGTGGTGTGCGCCGGTAGTCTCTGTTACTTGGGAGGCTGAGGTGGGAGAATCACCTGAGCCCCGGGAGGTCGAGGCTGCAGTGAGCCATGATCATGCCCGTGCATTCCAGCCTGGACAAAAGAGCAAGACCCTGCCTCAAAAAAACAAAAAAAGAAACGGGAGAGGTAGAGAGAGAGAGAGAGAGGAAGGAAGGAAGGAAGGAAGAGGAAGGAAGGAAGAAGGAAGGAAGGAAGGAAGGAAGGAAGGAAGAAGGGAGGGAAGGGGAAGGAGGAAAGAGAGGAAAAAAAGAAAGAGAGAAAGGAAGGAAGGAG